TTTTTTTTTTAAAAAGACACTTTTTAATTCTGCGTGCGTTATTGAAATCGTCATAGTTGAATGCTGGCTTTCTTTCCATAAAACTGACAACCTTTTCAATATCTTTTAAATCTTTTAACCTACACCTTATATGTTTTTCCTACAGAGAAACTGACCTTTGACCGAGAGAAGAGGAAAATATACAAGAAAAACGGCAAAGGTAGCCTTGAAAGTGAGAAAGACAGACAGAGAGATGGTTTAGTGGAGTAAAAATGAGTGCTTATCGAATGAGAAGAAAAGAGGGTGAAAGAGTGAAAAAGAGGAGTGAATTTTTTCTATGTGACGTGTTCCTTCAGGGCGTTGCTGATCATAGCTCTCCACAAATCGCTGCATTAATCTCTTCCGTCATCTATTTTCACAAACTGCTTTCATCTGTCCTTCATGCTTTCAATATGTCTTGTGAGTGTTAAATTTTCCAAGCACTCTTTTTTATGTTATAGTTACCGCAATTCAGCAATAAAGACATACAATACCACCTTATAAATTTTGGTGTTTGTTATCCGAAAACATCGGCTTTTTACCTGTGACAAGCAAACGATAACCAATTAAATCAAAGACATTTCTCATTAACTTTGAACTTACACTTTAAAGATGGAATGAAAATTGTATCACCATGCATTATTGATCAAATTAAACAAACAAACTTTTACGCACGAAGTGTTCAAGAAAGCTTCTAGGAATGTCTTCGGATCAATCTGTTCATTTGTCCAATTTACCCAGCGTTTGCCGAACATCACCAAATCTGCAATAGAAATCAAAGAACCGCAGATTCTATAATGCTTTTCTCTCATTATAATAATTAGTATCTTTCATAATATTATGCAGGATGGGTAGGTTCCCTAGGAGGCTTGACAGCGGTTGGCGAACAATGTTAAATATGTGTATGTGTGTGTACGTGTGTATGAGTGAGTGAGAGTAAATACGATTGAATTGTGTATGTGTTGGGGCGCACCCACCTTCTAACTAGTAATGGACTGGTCCCTCTTATATAAGTCAGCTCTGGAGAGCGTCAGAGAGAGAGAGAGAGAGAGAGAGAGAGAGAGAGAGAGAGAGAGAGTCAGCGTTAGCAGTCCAGATAAGCTTACCCGGTACATACCGTTGGACTATAGACTTTGGATATTGTTTCGTACTAACCAACCTTCGTTCTACTAATCACTCTATTGTTAATTGCTTTTATGAATATACCAGTATTTTCCTCTACAACTGTGTTTGTCTTAATTCATACACCGACACGCGGGAAACTCACAACATCTCAACAGTATGTGTGTCTGTTTGAGAGATAGATAGATAGAGAGAGAGAGAGAGAGAGAGAGAGAGAGAGAGAGAGATGGGGGAGAGAGAGAGTAAACTCGGATGAAATGTCATTGAATGACAAATATATAAGACGATTTTGTAAAAATTATTTTGTCATGAGTTGACCCGAAGATTAAAGTAATATAAACAAATTGTGTGCCCCCGAAAACTCCCTGATTACAACTCTTGCGTACAAGGTGTCGTTTTAATAAAAACGTAAGCGTAATTCATTCAAATGAAATACATTTAAAATTTAATATCCCGACAAGCAGCTACTTATATCCCAATCCTTTTCAAATAAATTCTCCCAGAAGCAGGTTAATTGAAACTGATTGAATTTAATAAGAATCAAATCTTAAATGAAAAATAAAAAAAATAAGCTGTAATATAGATTTAGTTAAATGTGACGTCACGTGGCTGCCCCAGGCTCTGATGTCCTGGTCACGGCGTCGATTGTGACGTCTTCGCCGCGGCGTCAGCAGTTCGCTCCTCGCTGCTCCGTCCGAGTGTCGCTGCTCCAAACGTGACGTTCTAACCCTTTGGTTAGATTGATACCAGCCTCGCCGTTCCCAACCTGCTTCCAACGCCTGGTTACCAGGGTAACTGCACTGATCTACAGTCTGCCTACCCACGTTGTGAATTGATCTTAGACAGACGAGATCAAACAGGGGTTGGGGCCGTAATGCAAGCTGAGTTCAACGGGGGTGATAACACACAAATATGTATAAAAGAAAAGAAAATAAAAACTCACAAAGTCCAAAGTATCAAAGAAAAAGGTAACAAACTTTTTATGTCTATTTGCTCGGTACATAGGACTATGTCTACCTCCCGACCCGTTCTGTGGATTGTGGCACGACGCTTTCACTAGGCAACTTTAAGGCTTCAAGTTGTCTGCTCCCTAAGAAATTTGTGTTTTGGTGTGTCTTTGGACGAAAGTCGAAAAAACTTATTTCTGTGGTCTGGTTCTAAGTCGCTCTTCAAACTACTTGTTCTTGGTTGAAGAAGAGTCCAGAAGTGTGCGTGAATCTTGGTCAGCTATCTTGACGCGGTTTCAACACTGGGCGCTCATCTCTGCTTGTCGTCCAAGGCTCAAAACTTCTCGCCAGGGTCCGCGGCTCAACTCAAACTTCTTCTCTCCGGCTTGGGTCGAGGAACTTCTTCTCTCCAGAGTCTGAATTATTGGTCACTCATCTCCGCCGTCGGTGCGCGAACTAACTTCTTCTCGTCAGCTTGGGTCAAACGAACTTCTTCACTTAGGCCAAACGAACTGGCCTCTCCTGCCCGCTAAGGGGGCGAACGAATTCGGCCCGCTGTCCGCGGTTCCACTCCGCTTGCCGTCCGCGGCTGCCCTGATTTCTGTCGGTTGGGGTCTCGTTTTTATTGACGCCGTCAAAACTGGGGTGGGTCTGTCGGCGCCAGGGGTTCTTCGATAATTCTAAATACGTATCCACCCTTTTTATTTCTGGTTGGGGATTTTTCATTCTTTTCCATTTTCGGTAACTCTCCTCTCACTCCCACTCCCTTACTGTGCTTCTGAGGGGCGTGTACCCACTTCCCCGCTTCTTCGTATCGGCTCCTCACACTTACACTTCTGATAGGGGCGTCGACCGATTTTCCTCGTGCGTCACGTGACCGCTCTCGGCCAATGAGGTCCTGGTCGGGTATCTTGCCTCCTCCTTCGTATGTCATGTGATCTATTTAGCCAATGACGTCCTAGTCGGGCGTGGACAATCCATGGCTTTGTTTTGGGAAAGAAATACCTTGCTTAAAAAACAAAAATATTAATTAAATCGCCCTTATCATGAGCGACCGAGATGACACTCTCGGCTTTTTAACACGTGGTATTTGTCAAGCAGTTTATCGCTAATTGGATATGATCTATGAAAGGAATTTCCCAGACTAGTTGGCGTTTCTGAAGCGAAAATAAAAATATTTGATTTTTCTTTCGCTCGAAGCTTGATAACAAAAATCTTTACTATCGCAGGGCGGGCATTTATTCTGTCAAAAGAAAAATTTTGCCAGAGACAACATCTTGCGTGGGCTTTTTCTAATTCTGAAGACTGTCTGTGTTTTCGTATTAATGGTTTGTCTTCATATCCTTAGATACACTTCCCCACCCACTTAGACCTCTACTATCATTCCAATGACACACTTTCCCACTTGTTACTTATCAATATTTTCATTGTCCCAAAAATTCGTTTCTTCTATTCCTCCTTTCTTTCTTTTCCCTTGGGTGACATCCAATTGATAACAAACTTCCATTTTTCGTGGACACGCGGAAATCGGTCAAATGCTTGTTTCTCAGGTGACCTGAATATTTTCGACACCTGCTATCTATCAGTTCTAGCCGTGTGTGTGTGTGCTCGCCTATGACCTGTTTTCGTATTATTTTTTCTTTCTTTCTTCTTCGTTTTCCCTTTCTTTCTCCCAGATCGCTTGAATGTAAAGAAAGAATTATTCTTAAAACCCCAAATATTTGTCGGCCTTAAATAATTATTAAATGGTTGATAAACCGTAAAAAAAACAAATCATATATCTATGATTATTTCTTTCAACTCGTCAGGTATGCATGGTGCCACATATATAAATTTATTTGGTGACGCCAGCTTACTGGCGAAACATGTCAAACGATTTTTTTTCAAATTATTTCATATATTTTCCACATATTTCATGTATGTGTGTGTACACATATACATAAACGCACACGTATATATATTTCTTTCAAATACGTGAGTATATATATATATATATTGTTCATATATATATATATATATATATATATATATAAATATAGAGATTTGTCTTTCTTTCATTTTAGGTCGTCAAAGAGAGTAGATTTTCTCAGCGAAAGTCTTCCTTAATATATATTCCCCTTTCTTTCACCATCTTATATATATATATATATATATATATATATATATATATATATATATATATATATACGCACGAGTGTTTATTGTGCATGTATGCAATAATTTATAACCGTAAGTCCATAGTCGTCATTTTATAATCTGTACCTGATCCTAGAGATAAATATGGTTAACGCTGAAACTGCCATTTCGTACGTAAGAATTTATGCCTTTCTTATTATTTATAAATAAAGCCAATAAAAATAAACACTGATGGTAAGCAGCCTACGCAAGCAGACGCTGGCTGGTACCAACCGACGTTTGTACAGGATTGCATAACTTGCAATAATATCTGCGACGCCAAATTTTCAATTTTTTTTTTACTCCATTCACAGCCATTGTAGAAGATGGTCAGCCGATTCGCTCAACAAGAAAGAATTTGCAAATTTACCTAAGGAAGAAGTCTAATTACAATGGCGACCATTTTTTCAGCTTCATTGAGGTGTTTCTTTCATTGGAAAAAAAAGACAATTTTTGACAAGGTTTTTTTTTCTTTTTTCTTATTTGCTTTCTGCGCCTAGATTAAGGAAATTTTCACTTGGAACAGGAATGAGAAAGGGAATTTATTTAGAGACATTGTATTAGAAGAAGTTAAGCTAAAATACAATTTAAAAGCATATCATTACTTGAAAGGCAAAAAATTAACGTTGCACTGTCTGCATCTTCCAGATATATATGCATCTAGACGTGTGCAACTTTGAATGTTATATTAGAGCATTATGTGAATATTACCGCCATTTTTGCATAAGTTAGGATAGCTTAGAACAGAACGTGACAGATAGATAAATAGGTAGATATGAGAGAGCGAGAGTGAGAGTAACGAACAGCAAACTGACTTATATAGGAAGATCGAGAGAGAGAGAGAGAGAGAGAGAAGAAGAAGAAGAAGAAGAATATAGATAGATAAATAGATAGATAGGTAGGTAGGGAAAAATTCTGTGAGAGATAGAGAACGAGAGCGGAAAAATGGCTGATCGTGAGAGAGAGAGAGAGAGAGAGAGAGAGAGAGAGAGAGAGAGAGAATGGATAGATAAGGGAAGAGTATGTGTGTGTGTGAGAGAGAAGAATAGATAGATATGGAAAGAGTATGTATGAGAGAGAGAGAGAGAGAGAGTGAAGAACACGTTGGTGACTATAGTAATTTTGATAGAGAGAGAGACAGAGGGAGAGGGAGAGAGAGAAAGAGAGAAACAAGGTAGAGATAGATAGATAGTTATGGCGTGAGAGAGGAACGAAGAATAAGCTGACGTTTATAAAAAAACATCGATATATATATATATATATATATATATATATACAAAGAGAGAGAGAGAGAGAGAATAATAGATAAATAGGGAAAGAATATATGTGAGTGTGGGAGAGAGAACGAAGAATCAGCTGATGTCTATATAAATATTGATAAACAGAGAATGAGAGAGAGAGAGAGAGAGAGAGAGAAGAATAGATAAATAGACAGAGTGAGAGAGAAAGAGAGAGAAAAGGACGAAGAACAAGCTGACAACTATAGAAATATCGAGAGGGAGAAAGAGAGACAAAAGAATATAGATAGATAGACAGATAGATAGATAGAGAGAGAGAGAGAGAGAGACAGAAAATGCGTGGAGAGAGAAAGGACGAAGAACAGGCTGATGACTATAAAAAAGATTGATAGAGAGGGAGAAGGAGAGATAGAGAGATAGGGGGAGTGTGTGAGAGAGAAAGGAAAGAAGAACAAGCTAAAGACTATATATTGATTGATTGATTGAGAGAGAGAGAGAGAGAGAGAGAGAGAGAGCAATCTAAACAGATAGATATAGAGGACAAAGACATTTCTCACGAGATATTATGTCAGTTGCTCGGAGACATTCATTGCTCTCAATGCTTTCATCACCATCTCTCTCTGTGTCTCTTTATCTCGCTTCCTCCTCATTCGCACGCACGTACACACACACACACACACACACACACACACACATATATATATATATATATAGGGTGATTCAAAAGTAACTCCCCCTTTTAAAATACTTATAATTTATTTATTAACTATAATTTTTACAAGAAGTGGATATGAGAGGAAAACATTTAGCATGAAGTTTTCTTTAAAATTCATTAGGGGAACCAGATTGCGCAACCAGCTTCTCGAGCCGCCCAGGAATCGCATCAACTGATTTCGCCAGGGATTCTTGTCGTATGGAAGACATAACATCTTGTATTCGCCCTTCAAGTTGTTCGAATGTCTTGCTTTAGTATAGTAGACATGCTCCTTTAATCAACCCCAAAGAAAAAAGTCACGGGGTGTTCAGCCAAGACTACTGACGATATTCAGTCCCCACCCCACGAGGGTGTCATGTGGCACAAGGCCTTTTTAACTTGGGCATTCCCGAGCCATTAGGCTCGGCCAAAAAATAGCCCATTTGAACCCGTATAAACGGGTTCTGGCCAAGACTACTGACTGGTCACTCATAATAGGGAGTTACTTTTCAATCACCCTACACACACAGACACACACACACACACACACACACACACACACACACACACATATATATATATATATATATATATATATATATATATATATATCTTCAGCAGTCAATTTATTTGCTATAGTATTCTTGTAACGTGTTGCTCACTCTTTTGCTTTTAGAACGGCCTCAATTCTTTTTCGTATGGATTAGACAATATTTTTGATGCAATTTGCGTCCATGCTGATACTATGGCATCCTGCAATTCTTCTAGATTAATTGGCAGAACATCAAGGATGCGAATCTCCATTTGCACCTCACCCTAAAGGTGATCTATGGTATTCAAAGTTGATGACTGCGCCGGCCTCTTTAATACAAAAAATCTCGTTACTGTGTCCTATGAATGAATCGTTTACTTGTGACACGAGGCGCTTTTCTGCTGGAAGTGCCCACTAGTCATAATTTGAGGCATTTGGTCAGCCTCAACAACACCTGGGTAGGCAGCAGAATTTAAATTTATTTTATTTTATCGGTCTGAACATGTGTGTCAAAAGAAATTCTCACTATCATTAGCTCAACAGATCAACGATACTTAACCATTAATATAAGCTAGCAAGGGTACATATTTTCATGTTGTTTAGGCCCAAGTCTATCCATACCATCCGATTGTTGCAACAGAAATCGAGATTCATCAGATTATCAAATGGTTTCTACCGTTCGGCCATTCTTCAGGTGCTTGTCATGATTACGGCTGCATCACATTAAAACAACGGTTCCCGTACGAACATCGAAGTTCAGCAATGTTGAACCTGGTCATTACCTTAACCACTTGGGAATACCAGGTACTGTATACTGGAATGTGTGGGTGGTGTAATAGTTAATGAGTCGGAATTGTTAATTCCCGTTGGGTTCGTCATATTTACTTACCTGCAAATAGCCTCAGGAAAATCATGAATCCAATTTTTCTCCCTCCAGCTATGGGTTAATTAGTAAAACCATTATTATCTCCCCGCTAAAAGCTTACAATCTAAAATTATTTTCTGGTTTTAAATAACCTGCAAAGAGACTGATAAGCCTTAAAAAACAAATCAATCAATCAGGTGCTTGTCTAACATAGTAACCTGCAGGAAATTTGGAGCTGAACATTTTTTCATTTGCAAAGATAGATTGTTCTCGATCTGGTGTCTAGGGATATCACATTTCTTTTCAGTTATTTCTTGCCCTGTTTCCACAGCAACTAAGTTTGCATTAATCAGTCTAATGATTGAATTCACAACTTCCCTTTCGTCATATTCACGAACTAACTCTTTAATTCATTATGCCAATGTCCTGTATGCAAATTCTTAGGAATTCAAACGAAAGTCTTTTCATTCGCGCTATATACTAAGTTAACCAATTCTATAGATATTGACTAAGCTTAATTTTAAGATTAGGAGTGAAGTCAGTAGTAATAATGTCTTGTGTAGTTAGTTAACCATTACTTAATGTCTGCTAAATATATATATTTAAAAGAATATTTGTGCGTGATTCTAAAGCATTTTCGTGTACATGAGTAGAAAGAGAATGTTTTCTTTCTTTGTCTGAAGGAAAGAAAATAATTAGCATGATGATCATCACCATCATTCTGCGTAAAGACAAATCAGTAATGAGTTTTCAAATAGAAATGAGGTTCCTTCAAAACACTGTTACCTTTAATTGTCGATTATTTACGCAACACATTTTGTAAAAAAAATAACGTATAAAAACAAGTTTGAATGTTGTTTTCGATTTCAGAGCCTGGGTTTTCTCCTTGAACGCTGATCTTATATAACCTGATGTCATGCCTACATGCATATGTCTGAAGGATTTGCTATTCTTATTTATTTAATGCGTTAAAAGCCCAAACTCTCCAAGGAAATATTCGATCATCCGTTTGAAGAGAGTGTTTTCCCTTCAGCAGCATCATATGTATCGGAGCTGACAAAAAACATTTAACTTTTACACTTAATAATTTATTATGATCAGCATTTTATTCTTATTTCAAACTTGGCGGTAAAGTAATCACGTGGTTTGACCATCGAACAGAAGGTAGGGATAAGCGGATTCATGCCTTCTCCAAGAGCATCAGTGCTAGATGAATGTATTTTTAGTTGATATACCTGAACTATTGTTCTTATTTTATATTGTTACTGATTTTTTTTATACAGATAACGTTTCGACCAACTAGACTCTGTTTATTTCCAGGTGCTTATTGTTATAGGATTAGAAAAATATTTTAAATAATTCAAAGTAAAATTATCAAAATGCAGTCGTGGCGATGACCAAATAACTAAAGCACATGTCAATGGATTTGAAGACTTCAAAAACATCACTTAAATTCTTTGTTGCTTCGGGGCGGTGGCATAGTGGATATATGCGTTGGTTAATCAAATTTTGCTGCCATTATTGGACAAGAAATACAGCTATTGTAGTTCAGCCGGAACGAAGAAAAAATCGCCACCTCATCGACAAAAAATGACGCAATAATCAACACATGCAAGATAGCCGACATAGGCGAAATACTGGGCGCCTGAAGATGGTCCGAGGAAACTTAGCTGAAACTTTGTGCTAAAAATAACGTCTAAATATAACTAGAGGGTATTTAGCCGAAATGTTGCGTTTATAACATCTGAGTATGGCCAAAGAGTATTTAGCTGAAACGTTGCATCTAAAATAACAGCTGAATGTGGCCTGAGGATACGTAACTGAAACGTTGTAAGTACAATACCCACTAAAGATGTCCAGAGGATGCTTAGCAGAAACTTCGCGCCTATAATATCTGAAGATCACCAGAAGGTATGTTCCTGAAATGTTACATCTATAATAATATCTGAAAATGGTCAGAGGTTACGTAGACAAAATGTTGCGTCTATAATATCAACTGATGTTGTTCAGAGCGTAGATAAACGAAACATTGGGCATATAATTGCATCTAAAGATGATGAGAGGTTACTTAGCAGAAATGTTGCGTCTATAAGAGCATTTGAAGATGGCCATATAGAACATAGCCTAGAAGTTCTGTCTACAGTATCGTCTGAAAATAGAGGGTCTGGAGCAGAAACGTTGACCATAATAAACTTTGAAGATGACAAAAGAGTTCTTAGCTAAAATGTTGCATCTATAATAGCATTTTAAAACCGTACTTAACCGAAATACTGTGTCTATAACATCTGAAGATGACTAGAGAGTAAATAGGCAAAATTTTGCGACTGCAGTAACAAGTAAATAATGACCACAACATACATAGCTGAAACATTTTGTCTATAATAACATTTAAAGATGGCCATATGTCGGCTTCAGTCACTTTCCATAACCTAATTTCACTCTGCTTTTTCTATAAATACTTTTAATGTAAGTGTCCTGATGAACAGCTCGCTGTGGTACCGAAACACTGTGAATTTAAGGGTAGTACTAGATTGGCGATAGCTCTCATCATTTTAAAGTTGAAATGGCTGCTAGATGTAGCCGTAAGTTCTATGCTAACAGTTTCTTTTCTCGATATGGTACTCTATTACGGCTTTTTGTTTTCCTGTCAAGTTTGATCTTCAAAAATGTAAATGCAATGTCAATCGTTATCTTTTGTTTTTTTTTAATTCCAGTTCTTTTATTATTCTCGCACTTTAATAGTGTTGTTTATATATATATATATATATATATATATATATATATATATATATATATATATTATACCGTGTGTTTGTGGGCGTGTTGCCTTGCTTGGGATGAGAAGATTAAAAAAAGGATACTAAACCGAAACGTTGCCTTTGTGATAACATGTGAAGATGACCAGAAGCTAAGTAGCCGAAATATTGTGTCTCTAATAGCATCAATTCAAAGAAAAGAAATTATATTGCAGTTATACAGACCCATGTTGGATCCAGACATTTGAAAATAGGGAATGAGTTTCTGAAATATCTTGGAAACGGTTCCTAGATTAAAAAAAAAAGAAAAAGGAAAATGGATGAAAATCATAGTTCTATAAAATAGTTGATATTTAGAGGCTAGGGGGTTAATATTTTGGGACACATTACGCACCTGTTTTATATACCTAATAGGGATTTTAGGTGTTACATTCTAAATAAACTGGCAAAGAAAGTCAATTCAAACTTTCGTAACTTTGTGCTTTCCTATGTAACTCAACTCGCTACTTACCACCTAAACTGGCAACAATAGTTGGAAAGGAAATGAAGCGATGTTGAAAGATAAAGTAAAAACTGAAATAAATCAGAAGCAACAATCAATGTCATAATAGATAAAATGTCAGGACCATTCGTACATCCTTTCAGCCTGTATTATTGCCAGCATTTGACTTAGTGTGTGTGTGTGTGTGTGTGTGTGTGAGAGAGAGAGAGAGAGAGAGAGGGAGGGAGAGAGATCGTAAAATAATATGCGCATTTCCCCCCAATTCAAAAATGACGAATCTTTTCGCTTTCTTAACTCGTTTTAGATGGGCCCATAAATAAAGAAGAAGGACGCATCAAATGTTGATGTTTAGAAATGTGTTTTATTTACGCTCGAACGCTGTTTTGCCGCGCAGAATCACCTTCTGACTTGGCGAGGATTAATTTTCATCTTACAATCATCGGCTTTTAGGTTTGTTTTTCTAGCAAAAGACTTTCCTAAAAAAGTGCCATGTCTGTGCGTTGGCAGGCAAATCTGCGTCCAGCATTAAATTTTTATGCCTATTCTAATAGGTTATGATATCGTACATGCATGCATGCATGCATGCATGCATGCATGCATCTATCTATCTATCTATCTATGTCTGTTTCTATCTATGTCTGTTTGTATCTCTTTGTCTCTATCTCTCTCTCTCTATCAATCTATCAATCTATCTATCTATTCACTAGCCTCTAAGATTTTGCAAACTTTATATATGAATATCTTACAGATTCGAAAAATCAAAACATTTATGGCACATAAATATTCAAATCTCTGTTGCTGAATATATATATATATATATATATATATATATATAGTTTCTAAATATATATATATATCAAATATTCAATGCTTTGATCTTGATGTCCGTCCTTGTCTTTTTCCTTATCTCAAACACCCCGCTCTTTACTTCTACTTTCACTCTCTTTAACCCCTTGCGTGCTAGTGACACTTCCGCCTTGCTTGGGGTGAAATACTACAACACACACAACACATACACAACACAGACACGCATATATATATATATATTCTGCTTAAATTTTCTGTTATATTTTTCCAATTTTCGGATAAAAGATGTTGAGTATTTTCGGAAGTTCATATTTTGTTATTGTTTTGTTCAACTACTTTCGACCATCTTAGTCATTCTCAAGAAGCAATATGGCGTCTGTGTAGTAGTTAGAATTCCTTTGTCTACATCATAATATTTTTTGGGAAGCTGGAACTTTGAAATAGTCTAACGTGGCGTCGTCTGTAACGGTTATTGTGAACGAGACCACACAAGAAGAATGCGATTTATTTATTTATTTTATTTTTAATACTAATATATGCGCCCATTAATCATATCACATGAACGCCAAGATACCGTCTCCTGTGGTGAATGATATTTTATTTAATGTGGGCTGTTGATTTTGTATAATTATAGGCTGCCAGGGTTTTGTGTCTTTACTTGCATTGGCTGCTGTAGAAACTTTTAGTATTATCTCCTAATGTCTGCATTATGTTGATAGCTACATTTTGGTCATTCATGATGTGTTGATCAATGTGCGCACTGAGTTTCCACAGGTAACAAGTTAATGTACGAGATACTGTGGTACATCTATGCTCAATGTAATTATTTAATGCTGTTTTTTATTATTAATGTTGGAGATGTCATATCCCAGCGGGTATGAGGATTCAAAAACACTATTACTTTTACATCGGGGGTATTTTTGAGGCCAGGTGTTGTTGGCAATAATTAAATTACATGCTTTAAACTTTTTATAGCAGACGAGAAATTTTAGGCATTTGTTAAGATCGTTGTGTGATATCTACATATAAATTATGTTTTTAATTGTTTCTTCATCCTGTTTATATTTAGGGTGCAACGAGTTTTTGTCCTGCAGAATGTATACTATAATCCCACTCTTTACCAACTCCCAATACTATTTTGCGAAAACTTCTTCTATCCTACACTATGGTAGCATTTATACACAACCTGATGGCATATTGTTGGGTTCAGCACTTGGACTGGCTCATTCTAACTTCTACATGTGTCATGTGGAAAACACAGTTTTGTGATGTACGGTGACCATTAATGATTAAATACAACTTAAGACGTCAATGTTAAATAATGCAGTATTTAATTACAACCGCAAATACTTAAGAACAAAGAAGTATAAGTCGCCCAATTTAGTGAATCCCTTGTTAGTAGCGCGGCTCGGCTTAACGTCCGCTAAATCCAAAATCAAAACCCAAATCATCGACGCACAATAATTCACACTAATTCGACTGGATAGTTCCACTCAATAGTCACACAATAATCACAACAGTCAGTATCCTGACACCGCTATTTATACACCTGGTGGAAAACATATATTCTTAAATCTAGTGTGTCACGTTGGAACCTCGAATCGGTAGTTACTCATTTTCTTCCTATAGGACACATAGTCTTCCATAATTCTAACTGATCCTAGATATACGCACGTTATAGCAATAACATATATTAGCTGTTTAAAAGTAATAGAAAACTGAAAGAAACCTTTGAGAATAACAGTAAAATCTCTTTCCTTGACATATTAGACGCTGCTAATAGCCATAATTTTACCACCTCTTTTTGCAAAAAAATAAACCCCACTAACAGAAATTCGTATTTATTTAACTATAAAAGTTGTCACAAATATAAAATCGCTGGTATAAGAAGCATGATTTACCGGGCCAAAGTAATCTCTTCTACGGACTTATTCTATAAAGAACGTAGTAAAATTAAACAGACCCTAATCAGCCATAACTTCACTAACTACGCCGTAGACGGAAAAATAAAATGAGCCTTACCGAAAATTATAAAAAAAGTGACGCAAGAAAACTACCTAAATATGATGTGCCTACGTTTTCTTGTTTTCGGAAAATGTATTTTTTTATTTCTTTTGCCTATTATTTTTTTTTCAATTTCTTGAAAGTTCAAAATTATTTTTTTTCCGAATTGCTGTAGAACTCCATTGGATTTCTTTTCATGGGGACATGTGAAAAGTAATATTTATTCAATTAAACCTTGATCTTTAAAGGAATTGCAAGCGAGGGCCATTGATGTTATTGAATGTATTATTGAAAATCAGCTGCAAAGTGTTTTTTTTCACAGATTGTTTCTATCATATAAGGTTACAAAGCTACAAGCATTTTAAATTGCACACAGACTTCATGGTGGACGCCCTATATATATATATATATATATATATATATATATATATATATATATATGTCATTTTAGGTTCACGTAGATTTGAGAAGGTTTTTGCCGTCTGTTGCAGGTCCACATATGTATCTAATTAATGAGGGAGATGCACATCTTTCCATAACGACTGCGGAAGTGAGATACCCCGACCTTGTGGCACTGTCCCTTTCTTTTTGGTTTATGTATAGGGCATGATACATGAGACTACCTAATGACTCCATGTCAACCTGTTTGTTTCTCATTGACTGTGTCTGAATCTACAGCAGAGGAGTATTCTTTTCACAGATCTTTTGTATATCTTCAGTTGGTTCAAACTTTTGCGTCGGGGAGAGGTCTTCATTTGAAGATTTTCCCGCCTCTTTGCCATATGACCTAGCCAACGCAGCTGTATTTTTAAATTATAGTTTTAATGCTTACAGTCATGGCTGATTCCAGTACACCAGTATTAATGATAAATCACTTCTATATACATTAATAATGGTATCGATGCAACGCTGGTGGTAGCACTTGAATATACATACGTATATGATTCGGGATTCATGACTATATTGAAAGATAGACAGCACGAAGGCTTTGTATACTCTTAATTTTGTTATCTTCCGGGAAGTTTATGTTGCCTTTTCTTGTTTAGTTGCGTTTCTGTAGTCTACCAATGGCTTTAGTCAATCTCTGTCCTGCTCTGAGCCATTTTGAGCTTTGTAGGACCAATTGTAGGTAAGCATGTGAGACTTTCAATTTGGCTGAGGATAACCATCTTTTTTAAATCAGGAACTGTAAAAATATTTCCACACCTGTCTCAATCTTTCCAGCAAAGGCATTTTGTGAAGAAATATTTACGTATATCTCTTTTTTATTTTACATAAGAAATGTTCAGGAATTGTGTGCGAAATCTAAGAACAATTTATTAGAGACAAGAGAGAGAGAGAGAGAGAGAGAGAGAGAGAGAGAGAGAGAGAGAGATACATTTCGAATGACTTATATATAGAGAGACATTTCTATGAACAAGTTTGAAAAACCTTTCATTATAACAAAAAGGAAAATACTTTCTATCAAAAAAATTATTGTTGATTTAATAGGAATGGTTTTCAAGTATTTTTAATGGTTTAGACTATTTTCTTCTTTTTTAGATTCAACCTACAAAAACAAACTGTAAAGCTTTTTTAAAGGGTTTATTTGGTATTAAGAATGGATTAAGCAAATATTTTATATGATATGAAACGAGCGTGTTGTCTCAATTTTAATGTGTTATATATTATGTATATATGCTAAAGATTATATATGTTATGCGTGTATATATATATATATATATATAAAAGAAATATGTTGTAGTGGTTCCAACGAGAGAAAAGTATGTATATTAAAAAGAAGAGAGGTGCCGCAAACGTTTTTGGTTGTAATGTGGATTTATTTAGAAAAAATATTATGCTTTGTTTTACATAATTTTACTACGACACGTGTTTCTGGTCTCAAAACCGTCTTCAGGTAAAAGTGGAGATTTCTACATATTATTAAAAATAATTAATTTTTCTTCATGTTCAATGTGAAATGTTCTCGATATGAGACATTCTCTGTTTGTGTGTTATAATCCGAATTTTCTTTCTAGAATTGTCAATGAAGAGTTCTGCGCGAAGGGTCATAAAACAATTAAGGTTTGTCCAGCGAGTAGTTATCGGCATTTAATCTTTAATGTTTTAGTGACCCCCCTATGTGCTCTTGGATCTGTTTCTATTTTGGTGTGTTCCTGTCAGCATGCGTGTATATATGCGCGTATATTTCCCTCCATACATATTGTCTTACTACGAGGAATTCGTAAACTTATTTGTACCTATACACGCATACACACACATACGCACATACACACTATCCATATATATATATATATATATATATATATATATATATATATTTAAACAGATTTCTAGTACTGCCAAATCTAATCAGACATTTGAGGAATAAAAAATATGGGATCATATTAAACATAAGATACAACAATATCCACGTTTAAAACATAAAATGTAAGGCACCTTTCGACCGACACATTTTGAAACACAATCGTCGGTAATCTAACAAGAAAAATTTTTTTTATTAATACCGTAATAAAACAAGATGGTAAGGGGGAAAAAATATTATTTTACCTCAAATCATGGTAAGTCTCAAGTCGTTATATTAAACCACTCCGACTATGTTGGCAAGATGCTATCTATTCTTGAGGATAGTAGTAAATTCCGGAAATTGGGTGATATTAGTTATGATGATACCCCAAGAACTGAAACTAGATTCCAAAAAAAATTACTGGAATTTTATAAAAGTAATTTTCTATCGAAAGAATTTTACAATAATATTCGTCCTGTTGGTTCCCAACGTCCTAGGATGTATGGGTTACCAAAAATTCACAAAGAGGGCGTTCCACTTAGGCCAATTTTATCTATGTTGGGTTCCGCCCAACATAATCTCGCCAAGTGGTTATTGGATGTTCTTGATCCGGTTTTAGAATTCTACTCGGAGTGTTGTGTGCCTGACTCGTTTAAGTTTGTTGATTATATACAAAATTTAAATCCAAACAGCGACACTGAGTATTTTGTGTCGTTTCATATAAGTAGTTTGTTCACGAATGTTCCAATTGATGAAACTATTGACATTTGTGCGGACTTCTTGTATCGTGGCCCTGATAAATCTCCGTTGTTTCCTGAGAGTGTGTTTGTTGAATTGTTGGGGATGGCGACCAAGTCTGTCTCCTTCAGTTTTGACAATTGCATGTATCAGCAAATCGACGGGGTGGCGATGGGTAGTCCTTTGGGGTCCTGTGGATGGCCAACATTTTTGTTGGTTTTCATGAAAGGCGACTATTTGAGAGGGTTAACAAACCGTATTGTTACTTCCATATGTTGATGATACGTTCGCATCATTTTCTAATAGTGCAATAGCGGAAGTGTTCTTTTCATTATTAAATAATCTCCATCCTGCACTTAAATTTACAATGGAGGTTGAAGAGAACAATCGTTTATCTTTTCTTGATGTCCTTGTGGAGAGAACTCCCTCGGGTTTCTTAACGAGCGTGTACCGGAAGCCCACTTTTTACAGGGACTTTATCTGCCCTGGGACTCTTTTGCTCCCAGAGCCAGAAAGGTTAATCTTATAAGTTGTCTTACCCATAGGGCATTGAAGATTTGTTCTGAGTGTAGACTCAAGGCCGAATTGAGAACAATTAAGGAATTGTTTCTTAAGAACGGTTACCCCGAATCAGTTATTAAACCTGTCATTGAACGCAAGATCAGGAAGTTCAATGAAATTAAGAAATATGGGCCTTCCAAAAGTCCTATATATGTCAGGCTCCCTTGGATTGGTCCTGAGAGTCAGACATACGCCGATAAGATCTCTTCATCCATTAAACGGTGTTATAATGCCGTTACAGTCAGGAACATATTTACTACCAGGAGGGCCTTCCCCCCTTGCCGTAAGGATGTTTTGCCTACCTACCATAATAATTTAGTTATTTATCAATTTAAATGTCGATGCGGGCTCGACTATGGGGCAAAACTATCCAGAGGCTTGAGGTTAGAATCGCCCAGCATGTCCTGGGCTGCGTGCGCAGGCATGAGTTTGTGACATCCGGGTGTTCGCAGACTCATGCCTCTGCTATCGGTGAACATCTATTAAATTCTGGTGTTTGTAGGACCGAGTATTCTCCCATTTCTTTTCAGTATTGCATTAGGGCTAGAACAGACTCCACTTCGACATTTTGGAGTCTGTTATTATCAACATACGTAGGCCGGCCCTCTGCGTACAACGGGAGATGAAGTTTAAGTTGGCCTTATTTGGGGAACGGTTACATGATTTGAGGTAAAAATATTCCCCCCCTTACCATCTTGTTTTATTACGGTATTAATAAAAATTTTTCTTGTTAGTACTCCGTTTTAGATTACCGACGATTGTGTTTGAAAATGTGTCGGTCGAAAGGTACCTTACATTTTATGTTTTAAACGTGGATATTGTTGTATCTTATGTTTAATATGATCCCATATTTTTTTCCTCCTCATATATATATATATATATATATATATATATATATATATATATATATATATATGTGACACTGTTTAGGGTTGCGTGAAAAAAAAATAAAAAAAGGCGAGAATTAAAATTAGGTGATAAGAATCTATCACGAAAAGACGATGTTATTTTTTTTAACAAAGAAAAGTGCTAAAGGTTTTATTCTCATTAGCGAGGAAAGTGAGGTCGCGGATGTGTCGGATTTAATTTATGACGACGCACCGAATAATGGCAATGGTGAATGTTTCAGGTCGGTCAGGTGGCCTACGAAACAGAAACTGAGAGATAATATTAATTAGGTCATGCACTGGGTCGCGGGAAAATGTCTGCTGGACCACCAGGAAGAAAAGATTGAGCCATTAGCCATCTACGGAGATGTCGTTTGGAAAAGGCACCTGTTTTGTGTCAGGAGCTGGCTATGATAAGAAAATTATTTTATCGAGACAAATAATTGGCTGTAGCGCAATACGTCCAATTGACCACCCACTTGTTTGGCGGAGGTCCCGAGTGACGAATTCCAGGTGTCATTCAGGTTAAAAATTGAGATTAAAGGACCACACTACGAGTCTAAGGACTTGTTGTCGAGAAGAAGAAAGAGGAAGAAAAGAAAAAGAAAAAAAAGGAAGATAATTTTTTTTCTTTGAGCAAAATTTTTTAAACCGAGGCTAGTCTAGCCACACCCACGCCGCTGAGCGCCCATTGGCTTAATGGTGGCGTGAGCGTTAGGCGAAGGTAAACTATGAAGAAGGAGGGGAGGACTGTTAACGCCCCCTGAAGGGATCGTTATGAGATGCCACTGTGAGAGAGAGGGAAAACCTGTTGACGCCCCCTGAAGAGATTGGGTGAGATACCCATATGAAAAAGAAGAATCTGTAAGGACTTCCAAAAATGGAAAATAATAAATTTTCCTAACCGAAAACAAAGAAGTGGATTGTGGATTTAGAATTATCAAAAAACCTCAAACCCCGAAAAGCCCACCCCGGTTTTGGTCGGCGTCCATATAAGCAGAGTCGCAGCGAGTGAAAAGCAGTTAGGTTCGCAGTTAGGGTTGGAGACGGACAGGCAAGCAGTTGCAGTGAGCTGAGAGCTCTGAGGAACCGCCTCGCAGAAAGCTAAGATTCGCGCAATTCCGAACTCAACTTCTAACCAAGAACAATTTATTTTTGAAGAACGACTTAGACTCACACCACCAAAACAAGTTTTACGAATATCGTCTGAAGATACACCAAGAACCAGTTTCTTAAAGAACAAACAACTTAAGATGTTAAGACTCGCCTAACAAACACAAAGTGTCACGAATCCATATAGCGGGTTGGGAGGAAGACGCAGTCATCTATTCAGCAACCAGATATAAAATATTGTTAACCTTTTTTTAACACATTTGAACTTTTCGAGTTATTACTTTATTTTCTTTTACATCTACTTGTGCGATATTACCCTTGTCCGGACTCAGCTTGCATTACGGCCCGGCAACTGATTGATTTCGTCTACCTAAGATCAAATCACAACGTGGGTAGGTTAGACTAGAAATCAAAGCAGTTACTTCGGTAACCAGACGTTGGAGGCGAGCTGGGAACGACAAGGCTGATACCGAATCTAACCAGATTCCCATCCGAATCAGCAAAAGGTTAGAACGTCACATTTGGTGCCGCGACCAATACCAAGTCACATTGGTCGTCACAGGACAGGATAGGACGGCGACGGCGCGGAGACAGACGGGGTGACGTCACAATTGGCGCCGTGGACAGGACAGCATGGCGGCGCGGCCAGGCAGACGTCACATTTGGCGCAGCGACACCGGGGACGTCACATATATATATATATATATATATATATATATATATATATATATATAATGTATTTTTATGCTGAAAACGATTAAAATAAAGATTACTTAATAAATTAAATTCTATTC